AGTGCCGGACCACTCAAAAACATGATCTAAGCCCCTTCTTATATTAATATTGTGCATGTTCTTAGCAAATAAGTCTTATATCTGACCAAAGAGGACTTAACAATAATTGCATCCATAGCACAACTGTAACCCAAAAGATTCACTGGGAAGTAGTATGTTTTGAAGGTGATACCATCATCACTGGTATTGCATTACATGAGAGGGCTGGTAATTGTGGCAGTGGGGTAATTTCCTTCCACACCACTAGCATGGGAGAGGTGGCAATGAGATTCTGGACTGCAATGTCAAACCATTCACCTTAAAATCAAAACGAGCAGGAGGTGTGTTGGGATCAGTGGCGTCAGTAGGGTTGGTGTCTTTCAGTAAAACTACTGTTTAATATAAGTATCTGTTTAAGATTACTGTGACAATGCTCTAACACTAAAAGCTGGAGATCATGAGCAATACTCATGTGTGCAGTCTCAAGAGGAGCAAACCAGAAGCCAAAAGTTGCCAGGCGTCCCCATCTCTCCATCATTAAGGCCCTCTCCAGTGCATGTTCACTGGCCTATTAAGGGACAGAGATCCCGCTTTGGGCCAGTGCTTCATTGAATGGGCCGCCAGGGGGCATCTGCCTGTTCTGCACATTGACCTGTGGCCCACCCGGGTTCACTTCCTCTAATGGTGTCACCCAGTGGTGGTGCAGCACGTGAAAATGCCACTGTTTGTGATGTCTGTTTGCATTTTATGCAGGAATCAGGCAGCAGGCAATAATTGTGCAGTATTTTTGCTAGCCCAGCAATGTGTGGGTTTGTATATGGGCTGGTGGCCTGTGCTGTCAGTGTTTTCCAAGCATGGACTGGACAAGACTGTAGCATCTGAGGCTGACCAGGCTGCCAGACTACAACGAGAATCAGGGCCGGTGCAAGGATTTTTGTTGCCATAGGCAAAAAAAAGATTTGCCGCCCCATTCACTTCACAGTGGTCCTGTAGATTTAACCCCACAAGATAAAACATTGCCTTACCTTGAAAGGTTAAACAAGATTTTAGTAGCTGTCACACTGACAGCCACTAGAGATACCTCCGCTACAATGCCATGTTTACATACACACACACACACACACACACAGACTCACACTCATTCACTCACACTCAATGGTCCACACAATCACAATCAGTGACCAACATAAATTCACTGACCCATGCAGAGTGACATACACAAACACACACACTGACTCAAGCAGACATACACTGACTTATGTAGGCTGACATACAAACACTGGCCCAAGCATACACACACACACTGACTTAGGTAGACTGACGCACACACACTGACACAGGCAAACAAACAAACAGACCAAAGCAGACACGCACACATAGAGACTGAAGCAGACACACACGCTGACCCAAGTAGCCACACATACCGATCCAGACACACACAGATGCAAGCAGATACACACACTGACCCAAGCACACACAGACCCAAGCAGACACACACACTGATACAGACATACACAGACCCAAGCAGATACACACACTGACCCAAGCAGACACACACACACACCGATCCATACACACACATACACTGACCCAAGCAGACATACACATTCACACTGATCCAGATAGACACACACACACTGATACACACACACACACACACACTGATCCAGACAGACACGCAGACTGACTCAAGCAGACACACACACACACACACACTGATCCAGACACACACACAGATCCAGACACACACATACACAGATCCAGACACACACACACTGACCCAAGCACATACATAGCCAAGCCGACACACAAACTGACCCAAGCAGGACACACACACTGATCCACACACACTCACACACACTAACCCAAGCAGACACACACACACTGATCCAGACACACACACAGATCCAGACACATACACACTGATCCAGACAGACACACACACTGACTCAAGCAGACAAACACGGATCCAGATACACACACACACACTGACCCAAGCACACACAGATCCAAGCAGACACACAAACTGACCCAAGCAGGACACACACACTGATCCACACACACACACACACTGACCTGAGCAGACACACACACACTGACCCCACACACACACACTGACCCCACACACTGACCCAAGCAGACACACACACACACACACACACTGATCCAGACACACACACACTGACCCAAATAGACACACACACACACACTGACCCAAGCACACACATACACACTGGCTGAAACAGGCTAACACACACACACTATGAAGTCCCCCTCTTACCTTCATTTAATGTTAGCTCTCTGTGGGTCCCAGTCCAGTCCTGGCTGCCTTCACGCACTCATAGCTCCACCCCCACTATCCTCCTCCCTCTTAAATCTGAGCACAGGGGAAGGGGCAGGAGCAATCTTGCGATGAACCCGTGTGCTGCCGTTGATGGCACCGGGCGCTAGTTTGCCCCTATGTAAGTGCTCTCTAGCAACCGGTGCCATGACCTCCGGCACGCAAACAGAATGTGTCCCACATAGATGGGGGCAGCCCAAACCAGCAGTAAAGCTGCTGCCGGCACTCTCCTTTAAGAAGCGCCCTAGGCGGCCACCTTAGGGCCTATAGGACGCGCCGGCCCTGACAAGAATGTATGATGTCCATGGAGGTGATTTCCCCATGATCACAAGCTAATATGAGACAGTGATCATGACAGTCATAGAACATATCATTAGTGACAGTCAATGGGAAACAGAAACTGCAGGCATGCATAGATCTCTGAATGTTTTCTATACTGTGCATGTCAGTGATGGAGGTTGTAGGGATATATCTGAATCTGATCAGTCACAACATTAAAACCGCTAACAATGGAAGTGAATAATATATTATGTTGTTACAATGGCACTTGTCAAGGAGTGGGCTATATGAGAAATCGAGAGAACAGTCAGTTCTTGAATTTCATGTGTTGGAAGCAAGATAATTTGGAAAGTAAAAAAAATCTGAGTGACTTTGACAAGGGTCAAAAAGTGATGGCTTGAAGAGTGGGTCAGAGCATCTCCTAAACGGCAAGTCTTGTGGGGTGTTCCCGGTATGCAGTGGTTAGTACCTACCAGAAGTGGTACAAGTAGGGAGAACCGATGAACTGTCATCAGGGTCATGGGCCCCCGAGGTTCATTGATGCATGTAGTCCATTTGGTCCGATCACATAGAAGAGCTATGGTAGCTCAAATTGCCATAAAACGTAATGCTGGCCATGATAGCAAGCTACAATACACACAGACCAGTCATGGTCCTGTCCACGGCCAAAAGCACCTTTAATGGGGACTTGAGCATCAGAACTGGAAGAAGGTTGCCTGGTCTGATGAATCACGTTTTCTAGTAGATCAGGCGGATGGCTTTGAGCATGTGCATCGTTTACCTGGGGAAGAGATGACAGCAGGGTGCACCATGGGAAGAAGGCAGGCTGATGGTGTGGTGTCAATTGGGTCTTAGGTATGCCGATGTCAAAAGTCAGCAGATGGTGGTCAGATAGAGAAAAAGGAATTTTGGAAAGATTATAGGCGGTACAAAGATTGGCGAAGGTGAGATCAAGAGTGTTTCCCGCTATATGGGCTGCTAAATTGGACCATTGCGTAAGGCCAAAGAAGGAGTTTATGAGAGGCATCAGTGCAATTGGGGTTGTTGATTGGGATTTTGAAATCCCCAAGAATAAGGGAAGGAGTGCTAGATTAGAGCAAGTGGGGAAGCCAGGAAGAAAAGTGCTCAATGAGTAGTCTAGGATAACCGTGCGGTGGGGGCGGTAGATGATAGCAATTCTTAAAGGAGTGGGTTTAAATAGGTGGTGTGAACTTCAAAAGAAGAAAAGGATAGGGCAGGAGGGGTTATGATTAGTTGAAAGGTACATTGAGGGGAAAGAGGGATGCCTACACCACCTCCTTTACAGTTGAGTCTGACATCTGACAACATAAGCTGCCTATATATATATGCCATATATATATATATATTGATATATATATATATATATAAGCTTGTGGCAAGCTTATGAATTGTATAATCATATACTGTAATTAAACCCCCATTATTAAAAAAAACTAAATCACCTGTGAGCTTTGAAGTTGCTGTTTAGTGCCTGGATCTTGTGTGTATATAAAACTCCAAAAAGGTGGCAGCACTCATGAAGTAAAAGTTCCAATTTTTATTAATACATTTAAAAGTAGTCAACGTTTCAGTCCTCTATGTGGGACTTTCTTCAGGATCAATAGAAAGTCCCACATAGAGGACTGAAACGTTGACTACTTTTAAATGTATTAATAAAAATTGGAACGTTTACTTCGTGAGTGCTGCCACCTTTTTGGAGTTTTGGATAACTAAGCCCTGGCTTAGCACCCGGCACACAAGGGACTACTGCAGCGTTAGTGCAAATTGGATTTCTATGTCCTCCTTGGACATAGAAACTCAAAAAATCGTGTTTCCACAACTAGACATCTCAGCTTGATCACATACAGGCATTGTGTTTCAGACCTCATATGTCAATACCCTGGGCAATGGACACTGTTTTAAACACAGTTTAGTTTTTTAAACCAAAGCATGCGCTATGATCTAAAAGAATCAGTATGAGGTCTAAAGCGCAAATGTTTAAACTAATACAATTTGGACAGTCTTTAGTAAATCTACACCACCAAAATTCTGTAACTCTCTCTACACAGCAGTCATTGATCACAAAGCCTATTACTCTATCTCTGCCCATTGATTTGTGAATGCAACTTTCACTAAGAGATATCATTTACTCAACTTGTAAAAGAATATCCTATAATCTTTATAAAGTCTCAGTGACCTTATACTTTGTTCGTAAGGAGGAGTGAAAACTCCTTAAAATTGCTTAAAACAAGTCTAGTCAAGGCATTGAAAGGAAAGATATTGAATTACAAAAATGTACCAAACTCACTTTAGATGATTCATTGAATTATAACATGCAATGCAGATAAATGCTGCTTTTTTTGGGATTAAACAAAGCATTTAAGTAATTTTGAAAATTCTACCACAAAGATTTTTCTTCTTTTTGTATTTTCCATTTACATTATATTTTTAAGTATTGTCGACTTGCACAACATATCTAACAAAAAAGCAGCGTGGGTTAAAAAAACAAAACGAAGCAAGGATTATAGATAGGTGATTGACAGAAGGCAGAACTCCTATTAGTAAGAGTTACATTCATCAAGATGAGTCAACTTGATGAAAATCATGGGATAAGGTCCTAGAGTACAATTTAGCAAAGTAGTTATTATTTTCTGCCCTTTTTCAATTTGAATCAACATGTTGGAACGGTATTGGTACGAAATATTTCTCATCAGCATTCTCAGAAGCCAAAAAAGTGTCTGATTAATTGACACTCAGCAATTTTCCGAGATGATCATTCCAAATGTGAGCAGAATAAAATTATTCTCTATATATAACCCCCTCTGGAACAACACTATTTAGTGTAACAAGTGTATTGTTTCATGTGGCAACTTCAATATAATGATCAAACCATATACCCAAAGTAGTCATTTCAATATTCAAAATTATTGCATGGACCAAATGGCAAAGATTTGGATTTATCTATTTTTTCAGTTGGCTAATTCAGAGCAGTTTGAATGGTTCCTATCACGTAGAACTACTCTTGTTATACAAGGACAAAATCCAAGAAGGAAAATTGCAAGATGTGGCTTTATACCCAAGACCAGCTGGGTTGTCATTGCCAAGGTCTCCCTTTCCTTTGTGTTTATAGCCCCAGAGTGATTAAAGCTCCTTGCGCTGTTATAGATGTTTCACCTAAATACTAGCCAAGACTTAGTAAAAAGTGAAGAACTGGTTTATTGGCACATCATGTCCCCTTTTATACCTGGGGTCTGAACATGAGGTCCCTAGGAAGAATAATAGAATTGCAACATCCCCAGCACCTTGGTGTCTGTATCTGAGCTGATAATTTAATTAGCGGCCAGAAACCTTGGCACTGGGTTAACAAAAATAAGTGAAACATAGGGCTCCCATGTCTATTTCCCAACAAATGTGCCCCGAGAATCTCTCTCCTGAGTGCCCAATCTATCCAAAAAGCGCTCGGATACGAAGTGTCTTATCCGAACTAGGGAGAAGGTAAAGTTTTCAGCTGGTTGCAACCAGCATCTGATCCAACTCAGAGCTCCAGAGCGCTGGGTAGAAATTCCGGTCACTTTAAATGAATGATGGAGCTTTCAGTTGGTACATGGAGCTTCTCTTAAGCACCCTGTATGATAGTTCTCAGACTGAGAGTGCCCTAGTGAAAGTTTCACCAGATGGCAGTGACTCCAGGATCTGATGCACAGTTCCAGACAGTTTGCAGGATGCTCCCGGTCAGGCGCACCCCTGCCTTGCTTACGAACGCTCCTGGACTGCAGTAAGCTGTAGATCTGTTGTTTTAACCCGAATGTTTTTTTTACATGGCTGATTTGTGCCAGTTTGCTTGCCTCTTATAGTTATATAGTGTTACACTGTGGTGACAGACATGAAAATGTCACCATTGGTGCATCACTCAGTCAGGAATCGCCAATCCTAAAGCAATAGTGCAAACACAACAAGTAGGCATATTGATCCTGTGATCATTGGCCTCCAAATTCCCCAGATCTCAGTCCAATTGAGGATTAAAACAATGGAAAGTTTCAGCTCCCAAGAGCTCTAATCATGTATAACGCATAAGTGGAAAATGTGAATGTAAAGGTTCAGAAATGGAAGTGAATATGATCACATAATCCAAACAGAGTTAAATTAATAAACAATAAAAGGTTGTATATTCACATGTATATATAAGCAGAGAGCAGAGGACATAGCAAAACGAGGCAGAAGGGTATATATATATAAGTGGTTTTACCATTTGAGAAAGCCTAAGGGGAGAAATGCGTTGTGGTTTTTATGCTGTTGTTAAAGTATTTTGGCTACCTCACTACTTGCCTTTTAACCATATATTTTTAGAACTTATTAAGTGTTCTTGCATAGCAAGACCACTTAATGTTATCTCACATATATATTATTATTATTATTATTATTATTATTATTATTATTATTAAGTGTTCATGCATAGCAAGACCACTTAATGTTATCTCACATATATATTATTCTTATTATAGCCAAATTTACCACCCTAACTCCTCCCACAGTTTTTAGACTACATAGACCGTAATATACCGAAACGTGCGGATTGTTCCCGATTGGTGTGCTATTACTTTGTGGAACGTTTCGCCGAATGGTTCACGGAATATCGTCGTTCTTGTGGCGAAATTGGTCCCATAGGAATGAATGGCAAAATGTTCAAAACTAGAGTGGGAGCTGGCAAAAGCTGAAAAATCAGGACTTGATTTCTAAACTGCCACCACTCCCTCATTTTCAAGCCCACCTACACAAATCTTATATCAAAATGTTCAGCTACATCACAAAATGTAGGTCTGGGTCTTGTGATTCTCACAATATAAAGCTCTTCGCTGTAGGATGTATAGTTTTTAAAATACGACGGTTTGAAGATGGCAACTGCCAAAATATTCTGACCTGTGCCAGGCTGGAGCAGCAAGTGATGTCATAGACAGGGACTTTTGTACACCTGCTAATGTTTTTATAAATGTATGTTTTAATGTAACTGTGAAGCACTTTGGGCAACAACGTTGCAATTAAATGTGCTATATAAATAAATAAAAGTTGAAATGCATTTCTCACTCTTTAACCCCTTCAGGACGGAGTAAATAGTACACGTTCTGATCAAAACAAAACGTAAACAAAAACTGGAATTTGCGCTATATCTCTGTTCAACCGTAACTCACCGCTGTCACATTAAATGCACCCACACTTATTGTATATAATTTTGTTCAGGAGAAACAGGGCTTTAATTTATCATCAGCTATTCATATATGTAACATAATTTATTATGAATAAAATTTAAAAAAATGTGAGAAAATAAGATTGTGTTTTAAATTTGTATTTCCATCTGACATTTTAGCTGTTAATGTCATAATACTGTTAGGTTTTACTGCAAAAAAATGCACATATTTGTAATCAGCGATGTCTCACGAGTGCAACAGTACCCCCCATTAACGGGCTTTATGGTGTTTTGGAAAGTTACAGGGTCAAATATAGAACGTTCCATTTTCAAATTGAAATTTGCCAGATTAGTAATGTTACCTTTGAGACGGTGTGGTAGCCCAGGAATGAGAAGGGCTCGATCCCTAGTTGTAGACTACTGGTGGAGGCAAGAACACTTCACACAATTTCCCCAGAAATTGTAGCTTTTCTAGTATTAAGTGTTCTTGCATAGCAAGACCACTTAATGTTATCTCACATATATATTATTATTATTATTATTATAGCCAAATTTACCACCCTAACTCCTCCCACAGTTTTTGCACTACATAGACAGTAATATACCAAAACGTGCGGATTGTTCCCGATCGGATTGCTATTTCTTTGTGGAATGTTTCGCTGAATGGTTCATGGAATATCGTCGTTCTTGTTCAAACTAGAGTGGGAGCTGGCAAAAGCAAAAAAATCAGGACATGATTTCTAAACTGCCACCACTCCCTCATTTTCAAGCTCACCTACACAAATCTTATATCAAAACGTTCAGCTATCCCTGCTGCCACTAAAAATGTCTATGGCTAAGCCATAGTCCTGATAGTTTTCACAATATGGCCATTTGTTTGCAACTCACGCCGTCCATTGACATTCATAGAAACTTCACTCCAGCCAGCTTAAATTTGAAGGGCAATTTCTTAACTGCGACTATGCCTTAATTTTTAATACTTTAGAGACATACTATGTATCATGTAGGCCTGGGTCTTGTGATTCTCACAATATAAAGCTCTTCGCTGTAGGATGTATAGCTTTTAAAATACAACCGTTTGATGATGGCAACCGCCAAAATACTCTGACTTGTGCCAGGCTGGAGCAGCAAGTGATGTCATAGACAGGGCCTTTTGTACACCTGCTAATGTTTTTATAAATGTATGTTTTAATGTAACTGTGAAGGTCTTTGGGCAACAACATTGCAATTAAATGTGCTATATAAATAAATAAAAGTTGAAATGCATTTCTCACTGTATCAAGCTTGCCATGTGCACTTTTTAAATTTGATCAATCAATTGGTTAGTGTAATGTTTACTATCTTTACTCACTCCAAACACTCCACACAGTTACTCTGCCCACTCCATAAAGTTACTCTGCCCAGTCCAACCTTTCCACGGTTACTCCAGCCACTCCAACCACACAACAGTTACTCAAGCCACTCCACCCAGTTGCTCCGCCCACTCCAGTTGTAGACTACTGGTGGAGGCAAGAACACTTCACACAATTTCCCCAGAAATTGTATCTTTTCTAGTTATTATTTATTTTTATACTTTTATCTGACATCTGGACCCATTACTTAATACGGACAAGCAACCAAAGAAATCATTGGTGGGGATTATACCACCCAGGCTTGATACATAGAGCGGTTACAGCTCACTCTATTGTAAGTATATTTTTATTTACTTTATTGATACTTACCTATCTATATAGAGAGCACTATTGGCTGCTTGTTTGTTATTCCATATGATCTACCTCTTTGTTATCCATTTGTGATTTTCTATCATTCTACGGTGTACCAAAACCAGAGGGATATCCTGCAAGTGGGGATTGCCTACCACTGCATGCTGTTTTACCTAGAGCTGGATGTAGCTCTACCATATGTGAGTTGACATGTTATCTAAGTTGTTTGTCCTACCACGTACCATATTGCACTATTGGTTTGCCTCTCTTTTTGCTTCCTTTTCATATACTGCTATTAAGCAAAGCTACCAAAAAGGTCCCATACCAGTACTAGAAGATCTGTTGCCACCTTTGAGACTGTGCCGTACCTTTTTATATCCTGTGTGTTTTTTATTGCTCTTATTATTGTGTACTATTGTGTTTGGAGCATTTTTCTTGGCGCTACCTGTATACTGTTGTTTGACTTGTTCTAGTTTTCTTGTGAGTTGAAGGGATTCCCCTGTTATCAGGGGTTCTTAGTTTGCTTAGCGCTGCTCTATTCATTGTTCAGTTTAATATTTGTATCCAGTTAATGCATCTGCTCTGCATCTATTTCCATTATCTCCTTTCAAACTTACATAAGGCATGGACCTAAGACTTCCTTCCAAAAGCTGCTAGTAAAAATTCAATCAAAAACTTATTTGTATGTAATTACTTAATAGAATGTTCCCCAATGTAA